ATAAAACATGAAGAAAGAATATCACTCCGAGTCAAAGACTTGGATATTCTTATAATTTGTTGAATTTCAAAAAGGTTTGAATTTGAATGTTTTGAAGAATTTTAATTCCTACGGAAAAATAATAATGATTAAATATTTAATTAGAAAAGAAGTTATTGATGTTTTCGAATAATTTTACTTTTGAAGAAATTTGTAAATAAATGTGTAGAACATTTTTTTTTGAGTATCTAATAATTTTTATAGTGAATCATAATATTCTTTAGGGTCAGGAAAACAAGTGAAAATTTCGTCTGGAAATTAGGGAAAAGTCAGGAAAAAATAAAATTAAATATTTGTGGCAACCATGGTTTTGCGTTTGAATTAGTAAATTTTACTAATAAATTAGTAGAAATTACTATTTGTTTGTAAAATTTACTAATTTAAAAGCAAAAAGTCAGTCACAAATTTAAATTAGTAAACATTTTTACTAATTCGAATTTAGAGCAGTGAAAATTTAGTCACTGACTTATTATTAGTCAAAATTTGTACCTATTAACTTTCAGTGAAATATTTTTGTTCGCTTTTAGAAGTCTTTATTTTTTTTTTACTAAAGTTTTAGTGAAAACTAACAAAAAGTTAGTAAAAATTCATTCAAACATAAATTCGTAGGGTTTAGTAAAATTTTACCATTTTTTTAGTAGATTTTTATTTTTACTAATGATTTAAAGGAATGTTACTAAAAACTGTTAGAAATTTTTACTAATTTAGATAAAAACTAAAAGAACTTAAAACTACACTATTACAATTTTTCTAAGAATATCCTTAGAAAAACTATTTTTTCTTCTTTAGTAAAAACACAACAGTTTCAGATTTAGATATAGTAGGTAGTAATTCACATTTAGAGAGAAGAGAGTATTTTTATTTGAAATAAATTTTATTTCCCGTAAACATTTCGATTTATAGTCAAAACTGTGAATTGATTGAAATGAATTTCTTTTTCACTGATATTTATATACGTATATATAGTGAAATTGCAGTTATGTGATTACAATTTTAGAGAGAATGTTGGAGGCATAGTAGTGGATAAGGTCGTTCATCACAAGACAGAATATATACACGGAACGGTTAGAAGCGACAGCGCAGCCGAGACGCGCGCGCGGAACGTTTATTCGTAAAAATAGGATTTTCGCGATTCCTCACTCCCCGCTTCTAAAGTTAGCTGAACCTCGTGTCTTCTGTAGTAAACAAAATTTCAAAAGGCCCGCCCTCGTGTTACCAAACGTTTTAAAATCTCTCTCATCATTTCTCTTTTCTTCTTAATACGCACGCGAGAAAAATATAGAGTAACTTCTACTATTTACAATATGAGTAAAACCAAAACTGTCTGGAACTTGTGGGCATTTTTGTTGCAATTTTTACTATTTTCAAAGTGAATTTTCGCTGTGCGCTCGAAGTAGGTACATTTTACTAATTTTAACAAAAATGTATCTACTTTGATTGTATAGTAACTGTTACTTCAAAAATGGTAAAAATGTGCAAAAGTTTCTGTTATTTTAAGTTTTAGTTTGAAAATAGTAAAAGTGGTCATTCAATTACTTTCCAAAGTAATAAAATTCTTCGCAAAAATTCAATTATGTTAAACATTTTTTTTAAATTCTCGTCTAAATTTCAATTATCTTTATAGAAATAATTAAATTCTTCTCCAAAATATCAATTATTTTCAAAAATTTTAATAAAATTCTTGTCAAAATTTCAATTATTTTCAAAAGTTTTCCTAAAGAATTCAATTCTTTACAAATTTTTTTTATAAATTTCTTCGCAATAAATCAACTATTTTCATAAATAATACAATTTCTACAGGGATTCAATTATTTTGGTAAATAATAAAATTCATATTAGGAATTCAATTATTTTGATAAATTATTCTTGCAAATTTGATTAAAGTTTGTCGAAAAAATTCAATTATTTTCATAAAAATTTCAAAAGAATTCAATTATTTAAACATTTATTGATACAATTCTTTATAAGAATTTTAGTTAAAAACACTTTAAAAAAATTGAATTTTGATAAAATTACAAATGATTGTAGATATTCAATTATTTTCAAAAGTAATAAAATTCTTTGTAGAAATTCAATTATGTTCAAAAATTAAAAAAAAATCCTCTCCAAAATGTCATTTGTTTTTATAAAAAAAAATTAAATTCTTCTCTGAAATTCAATTATTTTCATAAGATTTAATAAAATTCTTGGCAAAGATTCAATTATTTTGAAAAAATTTTCTCAATTCAATGATTTTTAATATCTACTGTTTTAATCAAAATTTTCCAAAGAATTCACTTATTTAAAAAAAATTAATGAATTTCTTCTCAAAAATTCAATTAATATCAGGATTAATAAAATTTTCACAGGAATTCAATTATTTGAAATAAAATTTTCAAGAAAATGTTTCAAAAGAAATCAATTATTTAAAATATTTTAACAAAATTCTTTGAAAGATATTAATTATTTTTAAAATTTTTGATATTTGATTACATAGACATCAAATTATTTTCATAAATAATAAAACGCATGGAAAGAATTTAATTATTTTTAATACAATTTTAATTGAATTATTTTGAAATAATTGAATTATTCCTTTCAATTTTCATGAAATGTTTAAAAAAATTCAATTACTTTCAAAAATCTTAATGAAATCATTCGCAAGAATTAAATTATTATTTTTACAAATACATAATAAAATTTTTACGGGAATTCAATTATTTTTATAGATAATAAATCTCATCGCAGAATTTCAATTATTTTTTTTATACAATTATAATTAAATTATTTAATTATTCTTTTAAATTTTTATAAAATGATTAAAAAATTTAATTACTTTCAAAAATCTTAAGTAAATCCTTCGCAAAAATTCAATTATTTGTCCAAATAATAAAATTTTTACGGACATTCAATTATTTAAAAAAGTTGAATAAAATTCTTTCTAGGAATTCAATTATTTTCATAAATAATAAATCTCATCACAGAATTTCAATTACTTTTCAATATGTACAATGGTAATCGAATTCATAGAAAAATGTTATTATTCTTAAAAATTTTATTAAAATTTATCGAAAGAATTTAATTATTTAAAAATTTGTTAATAACATTTTTTACGAGAATTAAATTTCGAGAAACATTCAAGTATTCAATGAATTATTTATTTTTGTATTTAAATAATTTCATTCAAGTAGAATTTTCTAATAGAAATGGATTTCAAAAATGAATTTCAGTTACAATTTTGAAGTAGGGACAGTAACAATATTCTTATTTGTAATATAAAATAATGATTTTATCACTCGGTAATCTTTAATTATTATTATGAGTGTTTGATATCTTCATGTTTTATAAATATTTTCTTATAAGTCATTGAATTTCAAATAGTTTGAATTTGAAATTTTAGAATAGTTTTTTGAGTATTTAATCGTTTTTAGAGTGAATCAAAATATTCTTTAGGGTCAGGAAAAAGTCAAAATTTTGTCTGGAAACCAGAGAAATACAAAATATAAATTTTTTTTTTTTGTTTTTCTACAATATAATATATTATTAATGGACAAAACAACTTTTTTGAACTTATGATTTTATCTTTAAAGTACTAATTTTGAAATTTGAGAAAAAGCATACACTGTAAAAAATTTAGTGAGTTGATGGTCTCTGGAGTTGGGAGTGAAATTTTTCGAGTTAAAGAATTTTCGAGTTATAGAATCTCCTGGGGAGTTAAATTTTAACTCGCTTTTTTTAAAGTGTAAATTTTTCTCCGAATTTGTATTTGGTTTACATTTAAAACAAAATTGATATTGTTTATATAAGATTAAAAAAATAAAGCTCAAATTTCAAAAAAATAATTATTGTCAAGCTTTACGTTGAAAAAAAAATTATTTGATTCAAATAATCGATTAATTGACTATTATCAATTAAATATTTACTTAAATCGAATAATATTTATTGGAGTCAATTAAATGGTATTTGAACCAATAATTTCAGTATTTGAAGCAAATATGAACTAAACGATTTAATTGACTCCAATAAATATTATTCGATTAAATTAAATATTTAATTGATAATAGTCAATTAATCAAACTTAAAATATCATTTAATTCAATCATAAGTTATAGTTGGAATTAAACATAATTATTGAAACAAATAATATTTTTGAATCAAAGCAGTAGATATTTTCTATATATTGGGATTAAGCTTACAAACTAATTTCAATTAAACAAAATGACTTAAAATTATTTTTCCATTTAAATTAAGTATAATGTTTTGTCAGTGTAGGAAATTTTGAAAGAAATTAATTTTTTTGAAAAAAAGTTACAGCATTAGTGAAAATGATAGCACTTTGTGGAGCCATATATGTATTTCGTATGTGTACGTTATATTCGTAAATATGAATATAATTTCTTGAACTTGATCATTAATAAACTTCCCGTCCTTTCCAATTAGGCAAAATATAGTCTCTCTCTGTAAATTTGAAAATCAAGAGGACATTTTACTAAGAATTAGCAGCCCTTTGAATCGCGCATTGCTTTCCAATGAATCAGAGTATTATGGAGGTAGAGAGAGCGGTTTTCACTGGTATGTGTGTGTGAGTGTGGAAAAGTGGACACGTTCCTACAAACACCACACACAGTCGGGTACTTGAACTCTCAAGTGCGCATTTCTCTGGGTATATCATTTTCATTTTCATGTGTCGCTCAAATCCGCCTTTCATGTGTACTTATTGTGTATGCACGGCGAGTTACACACGTGCATCATCCCGTATGCATGCCGGTTTGCACGCGATTTCTGAACGCGCACGAAACTTGGTCCGAGAAACGCTACATTGTACATCGCCACAAAACGTCGCATAGAGAGCGTGCAGTGGAGCGCAGGGTCGAACAAAAAGAAAACAAAAGGAGAGATTTTCTCTCTCTCTCTCTCTCGAAACCCCACACTCGCGTGGACTATTTTGTAGGGTGATCGTATTTTAAGAAGTTGTAGGAAGCATGAGTCCGCCGGCCAGATTAAGGCTGTAGGCGCGCGACGGGAGTCTCTTCATCTCTTTCCTTTTTGTCTGCCCGTCTTTCTCACGCTTTCGCGACCCTTTGCACGTACACGAAATGGAATGGCTTAAAGCTCGGAAGGGATCCAAGTCTTATCGATGAGATGGCGTTGCGTTGTTATACAACTTTCCGACAAATTATCTCTCATTCTTTTCCTGCTTTCATTTTTTGGTTTTGTCTCCTTTGCTGTTCGGGAAATCTCCTTATTCCTTCCTTTGGCTTTTTTTTCGGAGGGCAGAACTTTTTTTCGAGTACAGTGAAGATGTTCATCATCTTGGTACTTCAGGGCTCGTGCCAGTGAAAGTATATTAAAATATGGACTTTACGGACCAAAAATTAAAAATTACGGACCAATTACTGACAAAAATATAAGTCCGAATCAAATAAGAGAACATTTTACTTAAAACTACAAATTAAATGTTTCATAAGTATATAAAAAATGAAGTAATCGATAACTCCGAGTCTTCGACACGAAGTGATCGATTTCTTCATGTTTTATAATAATTAAAGATGACCCAGTGATAAAATCATTTAGAAGAATTTTTAACTAAAATTCTTCTTTAAGGAGTGTCGACCGCTTGACATAACTTCAAACGAAAAAGTGATTTTTAACATCAAATGAAACAATAATTAAAATTATTTCAACAAATTCTGAAAGATTCAGTTGGACAATTATCAGAAAAAATTAGGTTGGAGCAAAATTTGTTGTAAAATAATAATTATTAAACATTTTGTGTTTTTTCTTTAAGGGTCAGTAACCTATTATTTGTCAAAATTGGTTAAAAATTTCAGTTGGTTACTAACCGTTGAAAAAACACAAAATCTTTAATAATTCTTATTTTACAACAAATTTTGATCCAACCTATTTTTTTCTGATAATTGTACAACTGAATCTTTCAGAATTTAGTGAAATCATTTCAATCATGGTTTCATTTGCTGTGAAAAATCAAAATTTAATTATTTTTATAAATTCTCGCTAAAATGTTTTTAATATTCAATTATAATCTAAAATTTTAACTGAAATTAATTTTTAAATTAATTTTTATTAGAAAATTCTACTAGAATTCAATTATTTAACTACAAAAGTAAATAATTTATTGATTAATTGAATGTTTCTTAATATTCAATTCCCATTAAGAATTTTATCAACAAATTTTTAACTACTTGAATTCTATCGACGAATTTTTATAAAATTTTTAAGAATAATCATATTTTTCTTAGAAATTTGATTAAAATTGTATTAAAAATAATAGAAATTTTGCAATGAGTTTTATTATTTGTGAAAATAACTGAATACCTAAGAAAAATTTTATTATTTTTTAACAATAAGATTTAATTTTTACAAAGAATATTATTCTTCTTGAAAATAATTGAATTTCTGCAATAATTTGTAAGTTTTCCAAAATTAAATTTTTTTTTCGTGTTTTTAACTAAACATCTTCTATAAATCCATTATTTTTAATAATTTTTAAAAAAGTTCTTTGAGAATTGGCAAATTCATTTATTTACAATTCAATTTTACAAAATTCTAATTATTCGTAAACTCTTCAATTAAATATATATTAGAAAATAAAAACTTTAAATGATTTTAAAAAAATCCGCAATTAAACTTTTTCAAAAAAAATTAATTCCACAGAATTGTTGGTTAAAAATATGAAAAATTCAAATTTTCAAAGATTTTAATCTGAAATCTTTTCAAAATTTAATAATTTCTAAAAATGTATATCTAATGCTTTTAATATTCAATTATAATTTAAAATTTTAACTGAAATCCATTTTTAAAACAATTTTTATGAGAAAATTCTTCTAGAATTTAATTATTTAAATACAAAAAACAATTTATTAAATAATTGCATGTTTCTTAAAATTCAGTTCTCATAAAGAATTTTATCAATAAATTTTTTAATAATTGAATTCTTTTGACGAATTTTAATAAAAATTTTTAAGAATATTTATATTATTTCGAGGAATCCGATTAAAATTGTTTTAAAAATAATTGACATTTTGCAGTGAGTTTTATTATTTATGAAAATAATTAAATTCCTAAAAAGAATTTTATTATTTACGAAAATAATGGAATCCCTGTAAAAATTTTATTATTTATGAAAAGAATTGAATGATTGCGATGATTAAGTTATTATGATTAGGTTATTACATAGGTATAAATCATTTAATGAAGTATTTTTTTGAAAAATTTTATTTTCAGTTTTGTTGAAATTAGTTTCAATTTTCTAAATTTTAACGCAATTCTTTAAAAGAATTAAACTATATCTTAATAAATATTTAAATTCTTTACAGAAATTCAATTATATTCAGGAATTTTTATAAAATTCATTGTAAAATTCAATTATTTTCATAAATAACAATATTTATCGCAAAAATTCAATGATTTAAAAAATTTTGATAAAATTCTTCTTTATAAGAATTTAATTATTTAAAAAAAATATTTAAAAAATTGTCATCAAAATTTCCATTATCTTTATAAATGAAAAGCCAAATTCAATTATTCCATACTATTTTAATAAAATTTCCCAAAAGAATTCAATTATTTAAAAAAAATTTTGACAAATTTCTACACGAATATTCAATTATTTTCTAAAATAATGAAAATTTCACAGGAATTCAATTATTAAAAATAGAATTTGCATACATTTTTTTATAAAGTTCTTTGCAATAATTCAATTATTTTCAGAAATCGTGATAAAACTCATTGCAGAATTTCAATTATTTTGAATACAATTTATATCAAATTCCTCAAAAAATGTAATTATTCTTAAAAATGTTATTAAAATTCGTCGAAAGAATTCTACTATACTTAAAAATTTGTTGATAAAATTATGTATAAGAATTCAATTTTAAGAAACATTTAATTATTCAATAAATTATCTATGTTTCTATTTAAATAATTGAATTTTCGCAAAATTTTGTAATAATAATTAATTTAAAAATTAATTTCAGTTAAAGTTTTAGATAATAATTGAATATTAGAGAAGTTACTAATAATTTAAATTTTTTAAAATAATTGAATTTTGTAAAGGTTTCAAATTAAAATTTTTTAAAATCTGAATTTTTCATCCTTTTAATTAAAAATTCTATGGAAGAAATCAAGCGATCGATATCTTTATGTTTTATAATAATATTCTTATAAGTTATTGACTTTTAATAGGTTTGAAATAGAAATTTGGAAAATCTTATTTTCCATAGCAAAATAATGTGAATCAGAATATTCTTTAAGGTCAGGGAAAAAGTGAAGATTCTGTCTGGAAATCAGGGAAAAAGAAAATTAAATTTTTGTGTCAACCCTATCGTAACCATGCCTATAATGGCGCAAAATAATTTTAAATAATTTTCTTATAAATTTTCAATTTTATGTTTGTATTCAATCTGGAGAAAACTATTAAATTTAAAAACTTATAGAAAAATCGACTGGAACCCAAAACTATTGTATTTCCACCGGGGTCCTTATACGGAACTGCTTGGAATCAGTAGAAATTTTTACTAATTTAAATTACTGAACTTCGCTAATTTAGATTCCGAGTTGGGAATTAAGGAATTAGTTAAGGAGTTCGGACAATAAAGATTAAAGACAAGTTTCGCTTCACCCAATTTGCACTAATTTACATAAAATGTAACTACATGTTCTGTAAATTACTCTAGTGTGTAATTCCCAACTAGAGTATAATTTTTCTTTTCTTTAGAATTTCATTAGCCACTGCTGACAATCATTTGAAAAAATTATCCCTATTTTTGAATTGTAATACTTTAATAATTTGTTTCAGGTGCAAGTGGATACGATTTGTTCCTGACGTGACAGTCTACCGGTGATAATAGTATCGTCGACGACACGGCCAGGTACACAAGGAGTCGTACTCGCTCGGGCGGAAGAGCAGCGGACAGTGGTGGAAGAGGTCGAAAACGAAGAAGAAAACGGAGAAGAGAAAAGAAAATCGTCTAAAAGAATCAGGGGTGGTAAAACTGCCACGCCCATCAAGGAAACGATGCAAAAGAAAATAGCCGAGTACGTTTGCCATCAGCAATATATGACTGGGAATGATTATCAAAAAACAATTCGATGATGGCATTCATCGGATTGAATCGATTTTACGGAAAATTGATAAAATTTGGTGACATTTTTATCAATTTCTCATCATCATCATCATCATTATCATCAGAATCTTTATTTAAACCTACAATGTTCTAAATGATCATTAAAGATCAGCTAAAGAATCATTCCTTGATGAGATGGAGTGAAACGAGAGATAAATAAAGAAGGAAATAGAATCGAGTCCAAATTAAATTTGGACTCGAAAAATTTGAAAAATAGGAGGAATATTGTTCGGAGGATTCGTGGACGAACCCGGTTCTAGAACAGCTGGACTGGACAGCCTCGCGAGTTCTCGTGGTAAGGCCGGGGGTTGTGAGGGCCACCACGGGGGCTGGGGTGGGTCTGCCCCTGCTTCTCTTCGTCGTCATTCTCTTCAGCAGCCAAACACAAGCGGCAGTCACGCTTCTCAACGTCGCTTCGATACCAACATTATCGCCATTAATCACCAGGCGTTATCTGACGGCGACGACGACGACGACGACGACAACAACAACAACATCATCGACAGCGACGAAAAACGATATTCATTGGAAGACACGTGACGCGATAAAGAACTCATTGTCGTCGTCGCCGTCGTCAAACGTTCTTCAAAAACCGAACGATTCAAATTGGAAGAGAGGTGAGGGGGGACCATCGGAGAATTTGAATTGGCTCGATACAAGGAATATTGAATTTTTCCCTCAGTTGAAAGTGGAAGAGAATTCATCAGCTTTGGGAAAATTTAGCACTGAGAGGATTGAACAAGCGACTACGGTGAGGATTGGTGATAGTGAAGTGATTAAGGGAACCGAGTTTGTTGAAGAAGAGAGAAGAACAGGGAAAGGTTTAGTGCAGGTGCAGGTGAAGAACGTGAGTGGTGAAATTACAACTTCATTAGACGTGTTGATTGGTGATAGTAGTAGTAGTAGTAGTAGTAGTGGTGTCGAGTGGACTACCGCGAGTACAGTTGCCGTGCCGATGTCATCGCTTTCGTATCCTAGAGAGGAGTTGGGAGCTGGAAGAGTTAGGATTTACCTGGGTCCAAAGCAGAAGAGACCCGAGGAGAAAGCTGGCGACAATAAGGTTACTACGGAGGATAAGGAAGAAGCAGAGTCCAGCTTTATTGTCACAACAACGCAGACTGCCACAACGGAATTGTCACCACCGACGCGGGACACCTCTATGGAAGCATGTGAGTTGACGGAACAGTTTTTTTTTCTTTTATCTCTTGCGATTTTACACTCTTGAGATCTCAAATGCTCGCTCAAAAAGCGAACATTTGAGATCTCAAGAGTGTCGGGAATATATTAAGATTTCACTGCTGTGATTGCGCGAAATGTGGAAAAGAAATTCCGACACATAGTTGGTTTATTATCGTCTCGTTTGTTTCTAGTGGATATATAGATTGCATTCAGAACGAGACTAGATAATGCATAAGGCATTAGAAGTAGTTGCGTTGGTTGAGTTTATTAATTAGGCGGTAAATGTAACAAAGGTCCCAAGTCTAGGTGTTTTTTTTTATTCTAGTAGATGCAGATAGCATGAGTATTGGACTTACAAAAGTATTTATACTTTTTTAAAACTTTTTTTATTCTCATGTAAAATTTCTTTTGTGAAACAACTGCAGGAGAAGCGAACCTTTACTTTAATGTAAATGCAGCATAAAGTTGTTGGTTTCTGTACTTTGAAACAAAACACACTTTTCTGCACTCAAATAATTACTTTTCTGCACTCAATTAAAAAAAACAATTTGCTGCACTCAAGTCACTCGGGTTTAAACGCAACCTGGAAACCTGGAAATATCAAGGAATTTTATAAACCTCAGGGCTCGAACTAGGTCCGTAATTCCGTAAAAGTCCGTAACTTTGCTTGAAATTCGTAAAAGTTCGTAAATTGTACGATATAAATTTGGAGAATTTTAGAGAAATTACAAATGATTGCAAGAATTGAATTATTTTCAAAAGGAATAAAATTCTTAGCCAAAATTCAATTATATCCAAAAATTATTAAAAATTCTCGTTAAAATTTCAATTATCTTTAGAAATAATTAAATTCTTCTCTGAAATATCAATTATTTTCACAAATTTTAATAAAATTCTTGGTAAAATTTCAATTATCTTCAAAAATTTTCCTCAATAATTCAATGATTTTTAATTGGTCTCTACTATTCTAATAAAAATTTCCAAAATGATTGAATTATTTAAAACAAAATTTACTAAAATTCTACACAAACTTTTAATTATTTTCAAAAAATAATAAAAATTTCACAGGAATTTCATTATTTAAAAATGTGTTTTTTAAATTTCTTCGCAATCATGTAATTATTTTTATAAATAATTAAATTTTTACAGAGATTCAATTATTTTGGTAAATAATAAAATTCTTTTTAGGAATTCAATTATTTTCATAAATAATAAAACTCATTGCAGAATTTCAATTATTTTTAATACAATTTTAATCGAATTCCTCGAAAAAATGTAATTATTCTGAAAAATTTTATTAAAATTTGTCAAAAGAATTCAATTATCTAAAAATTTATTGATACAATTCTTTATAAGAATTCAATTTTAAGAAAATGCAATTATTCAATAAATTTTTTTTTGTATTTAAATAATTGAATTCTAGTAGAATTTTCTAATATAAATTGATTTAAAAATGAATTACAGTTAAAATTTTAGAATTGAAATTGATTTTTTGAAAATCTGAATTCTTCATATTTAACAATTCTGTGGAATAAATTTTTTTGAGAAAGTTTAATTGCGGATTTTTTTTATTTTATTTGAAGTTTTTATTTTCTAATATATATTTAATTGAAGAATTTACGAATAATTGAAATTTCGCAAAATTTAATATTGTAAAAAAATGGATTTGAAAATTGTCAAAGAACTTTTTTGAAAATTATTAAAAATAATCGATTTTAAGAATAATTTTAGTTATAAATTCTTGAATTTGGTACGTAAAGTCCGTATTTTTTAATAGTTTCATTGGTTCGAACCCTGAAACCTTAAAAAAACCTGTAAAAGTCAGGGAATTTTTATCGGAATCCTGGAAAATTGTTGTTTTCTTAAATTATTGGATTTTTTTTGTATTAAAAAAATATTCAATTTACTAGAATTCATAGTAAAACTTTGAATTTTTGTGTCTATAAACTATGAAATAACCACAAATTCTAATACAAAACCTTTAATTTTTTCTACTTCTGACAATAATTTCTTTTCAAATAACTTAATTCTTGAATAACAATCATATAAAATTATTACTTAAAAATTATTTAATAAATAATTTGACTTAAATATTTTAAAATTAATTGAATTTTAAAAGAGTTACGTTTATAATTTTCATAAATAGATAAACTTGAAAAGATTTTAATTTAAAATTTTATAAAATTTTGATTTTCAATGAATTTCATTAGACATTTTAAAGAATTTCGAAAAATTTTAATAATTCAAATTCTTTTGAAATTAGTTGAATTTTTTAATATATATTGAATTAGTTATTAAAAATACTGGATTTATAGAAGAATTTTAGTAAAAACACTCAAAAAAATTGAATTTTGGAGAAGTTACAAATTATTGCAAAAATTCAATTATTTTCAAAAGTAATACAATAATAATTCTTTGCAGAAATTCAATTAATATATTTACAATATTTTTTTAATTCTTAGCAACTTTTTAAATAAATAATAATATTCTTTCAAGAAGTTAAATTATTTTTAAAAATTCTAATAAAATTCTAGGAAAAATTTCAATTATTTTAAAAAATTTTCCTCAATTGAATGATTTTTAATATCTACTATTTTAATAAAATTTTCCTAAAGAATTTAATTATTTAAAAAAATTTTATAATTTTATAAATAATAAAAATTTTTTTAATAAAATTCTTTATTAGAATTCAATTTTTAGAAACATTCAGTTATTGTCATCTTTAATAATTATAAAACACGAAGGTTTCCAATTTTTTTGGTAGAAAAATATAATGAATTAAAATTAGAAAACAAAGTTTAAACTTGATAATGAAAAACCAGAAATAGATTGGTTTTACAATTTTTAAATATAGCAGTCTGTATGAGTAAATGAAACTTAATCAATTTAATAAGCAAATCAAGTTTTAGTATACAAGGTTAATTGTATTGAATTAAAACCGAAATATTGGTTTTTGGAAATGTTGGGTAAAATTATAAGTATGTAGTTGATTGTTAGATCCAACCTTCAGCATGATATAACCTAGAGAGGGTTAATTCTAATTAGAACTGTGACACAATCACTAAAGCTAAGATGAATCAATTTGATACGTTTTTTGTCTCAATTTGATATCGTTAGAAAAACTGCAATTATTTCGAAATGTAATGTTGGGCCCGTTTTTTGGAAAAAGATGAAAAATTAGTGACTTTCACTGATTCGGTCCAGAATCAGTTACAGGTTTAGAATTTTTTTTTACAGATTTAGTTAAATTTTGAATAATAAAGATCGAAATAGTAGGGATTAGGCCAAGAGTATAGCGCTGAGAGAGAGAGACGCTAAGAGAAGTTGAGTCCAATCTAAAAATTTAATCCCAACTGAATCTGCTTGACCCGGGCTGAACTCCGTTACTAGGAATCAAACCGGATAGAATCTGACAAGGCCAAATAGGGCAAAGCGGGACAATGTCGAAAGAAAACATGTATTGTTTTTGAGGTTAGATGTAGAGGAACAACGTGTGTTGGTAATTATTGTATTCGAACGGTAAATCGATGAACATTGATGGTCTATAAATAATCATTAAATGTTTATGTTTTTATCGGCAGAAACCGTCAAATAGAAAATCACGTGAGATCTTGTCTAAGGCAAACCACGGTTGTGGTTGTTGTTGTTGTTGTTGTCGTCGTTAGGGAGGTTTGAGAGTATATCTTGTCGCAAAACGTGCACCTCGTGTTTTCGATTAAACGCTTGCATGACTCCGCGTATGAATCAGCCGCTTATTTTTATTTTTTTTCCACTCACTGACCGCTGTCCGACTCTCCTTCTCTTTCTCTCTTGTCTGCTAAAAACACAGATAGCACTTGAAGAAAAAGAGTGGAAAAAGTGAGCGTATACACACACGAGTGTTCTGTCGAGCAGAAGGGAGTCGGACATCGTAGCAGCGGCTCGCTGTCTCTTCTTCGTCTTGAAACATCTCCCTTGCTGCTGCTTCTTCTTCTTCTTCTTCTGCTTTTGTTTTCTTCTTTTCTCTTCCCTCCATCCTCCTCGGAGAGTGTTGTCTTTTTATAATGCTCCTTTTTTTTATTCCTTTCGTCGTGTCTCACTTGCTTCTTTTTCTCTCTGTTTGGCGTGACTCGTTTGCTTACACTCAGAACGAATCAGAGTCAGGAACAGTAGACGTAGTGGTGGACGGTAAACAAGAGAAGTAGAGAGCGTCTGCTCTCTCAGCCTCGTCGCAGACACACAAAGTTGAGAGAGCGAGCTTAGGAGTGACCAACCACCACAAGGTTTTCGACGGTCAGCGACCCGTTTTTCGCTTACACACAACCAATAAATCAATATTAAATCCGATAAATGTGCTAATGGCCCGATACCCAAACAACATAAAAGTCACTAAAAACATGGTGCATTACAAGACGGGAAAGATGGGAGGCGCTGATGAACCTTTTGAACCTTGGGTGTTAAATATTTTCTTCTCTTTTTTCTATTTATTGAATTCCTTTTACCGTGTTAGTGAAAGGAAAACCCTCAAGCGAAATGTCAAAGACTTGTTGTTTTCTTCTTTCTTTTCTTTGCACCTTATGGATCATGTGGTGTTGTAAGGGATCTTCGAGAATCTTTTTTTTTTCTTTGAAATTATCAATTACGAGGAAGTTGATTTTAAATTTTTTATGTCCATATACCAGGGTTCGAACTAGGTTCGCAAATTCTGTAAAAGTCCGTAACTTTGCTTAAAGTCCGTAAAAGTCCGTTTTTTTAAAAAGGTCCGTAAAGTCCGTAATTTGATAAAAAAAAAAAGGTTGAAAAGTTCGTAAATTGTACGATATAAATTTGGAGAATTTTAGAGAAATTACAAATGATTGCAGAAATTCAATTATTTTCAAAAGTAATAAAATTCTTCGCAGAAATTCAATTATATTCAAAAATTTTTTTAAATTCTCGTCAAAATTTCAATTATCTTTAGAAATAATTAAATTCTCGAAAATTCAATTATTTTTAAAAATTTTTATAAAAT